ATATTGGCCGCCCTCTACGGGCCACATTGACGGTACAAATTGCCCAATTATACCCTAACCCATAAAAGATTATTACTCAAAATTATATACATCTAAAGGACACATATAACAAATATCACTTGATTCATTTTTTTAACTCTATAAATATCCCCACACTTAATGAAACAGTTGAATCAGACCTGGATATCCCGGTATCTATAGATGAACTTTCAAATGCAATAGATAAATTAAAATCAGGAAAAACACTTGGTCCGGATGGGATCCCTTTGGACCTTTATAAAATATTTAAAAACAAACTGCTACAGCCCCTCTATAATGTGCTTGCAGAAAGTTATACCCTTAAAGAATTACCTCCTTCTCTACGAAATGCAATCATAACAGTACTACCCAAACCTGGAAAACCTCTCACCAGATGCAAATCTTTTCGACCAATCTCTCTTATAAATTCTGACGCCAAAATAATATCTAAAGTACTAGCACTTGGGCTTGAGAAATTTTTACCATCCCTTTCTGAACCTGATCAGAACGGATTTATAAAGGGGCAGCAAGCCGTATCTGTCGTGTGCTGAATATAATCCATGCTAAATATGAACATCCCGGTATAGCTTTACTTTCACTTGATGCAGAAAAAGCATTCGATAGAGTGGAACATAATTATCTATACAATGTTTTATCTCAATTTGGCTTGGGTAGTTATTTCATAACCTGGATTAAAATAATTTATAATAAACCCACAGCCTCAGTTATAACAAATAATATTATATCTGATTAATTTACTCTAGCTAGGGGAACACGTCAAGGGTGTCCCCTCTCACCCCTCCTCTTTGTTCTGGCAATTGAACCATTGGCTTTTGCCATAAGGAACAATCAAAACATACAGGGTGTCAGAATAAAAAGTATTGAATCTAAAATTGGACTATTTGCAGATGACATTATTTTAATGTCTAATCTGAAGTCCTCAATCCCTCCACTACTTAAAACTATCAACCATCAATGAGTTTGGTTATATTTCCGGTTATAAACTTAACGAAGCTAAAGCCGCCATCCTATTTTTAAATCAGTCCACCTCACATTTAACATGGGGACGACTAAATCTTGCTCAAGTTATCAAGTCAAGATAACGCACAACAATAATTTCTATCTTGACGTTTGGGCTGATATTTAGCCCTGTCCTCGCAAGTTCTGCAGGCGGCGAATTTTGATTTGTTGAGAGCGCGAACACCATAGATATCTTCTTCTTTTGCTCTTTTTTGCAGCACAGAAGTTAAAGTTTGGTAGTCTGGTCTCCTCTTTCCAGACCAAACGTCCTCAGCCGGGGACGCTTGCTGTTCTGGAAGATTGGCCAAATCTTCCCCTAGGACAGCTCTCTCTTGGGTCCGGTCTTCCAATGCCGCTTTTGTCAGTACAGAGGTTGAGCTTTTAGACTCAACGCCCTCCTTTGCACTCCCAGCCGGGAAAGTTTGCTGTGACTTTTGGCTTTTCAAGGAAGTTTCTTTAACAGTTGGGCAAGGGTTGAAAAGATAGGCGTCAAATTCGTCGTACTCGATAGACTCATCCTTGTAACTACTGGTATCAAAAGTTACCCCAGGAAGTATCTTATTAAAAATCTTCCTCACTCCTGTGGTGATCAAATATCCAGCACTAAACGTCAGGGGGAAAAACATGGTGGCTACGACCTGTTCTATATGTAAAATTGTTGAAAAACACAGAGCTATGAGTCAAAGAGATGCTTGGGCATAACCTCCTGTTTTGAGATCCAAGCATTCATAACCTCAGATGTTCTTTGATCTATGTCATAGATGAGGTCATAGCTACAATGAGTCTGTAGTTCTGGGGGAATGTCTTGCTTCTGATCATTGCTATGGAAACGGTCAAATCAGTTCTGCATGATTCAAACTATTAACCCTTTGCAACTGCATCACTGAATCATTCGAGGCGTCATGACGGACTTCAGAAGGGTATATTTCAGGAGGCTAGGGATTAAAACAGGGATATTAATGGTTAAATATTAAGTTTAGATTGACAATGGTATATTTTCATCATTCTATTAGGTTTAAAATTTTGAATCATACTTGACTTAAAAATATCTTAAAAATAAAATTTTGCATTATGCAAAAAATGGCAAGACAAATTCCTAGCAAAGTGACATCAATTTATTATTATTATTATCATCATCATCATCATCATCATAGGGAAGTGTTTCAATTATGGGAGTAATATTTTGCAAAAGATGGGATATGAAAAACTGAATCATGTAAAATTCTGCAGATTTAAAACTTTACTGAAGAAGAAATGATTAATTCCTGCAAAAGCAAAACAAACTAGGTTTGCAGATCTGTGACTAAAAATGTAAACGATTTAGCTTCAGTCTTCTTAAACATAGGACTGGACACATATGATGAAGAGAAAGGGAGAACTAAATGTTACATTTGTGGAGCGTAGTTTTGATGAACTGAAAGCCAGTTTCCCTGCAACAGCCTTAGCAGGCGTCAGCTGCATCTCTGCACACAGCGCGCAAAAGATGAAGATGAATGAAGCCACTTTACCTCCAACCAGCAGCAACTTTTTTGACATGTTCAGGTAATTAGTTAACAAGACAGATAATTTGTTGTTGACACTAGGGAAGCACTTCGTGCGTATTAGTTGACATTTGGATGTGGGTTGCCTGAAAACATGCATAGCAGACTTACATGACCGTCATGTAAATCATATTAAGTTTTTCTTATAACAGAGAGGCTACCAGTGTAGTTTTAAACTGTAATCTACTATTAAGAAATGCTATTGTCTTTAAGGACCTAAAAACAACTGCAAACCAATTATACAATGGTAACACAGACTCATTATACTTTTAACATTCAGGGGATAATCCAAACTCCCCAAAATTGTGTTGTTCAGCTTTGAATGTAGGTCATTCTTTGCACTCATTAATAAGATGGCTGCACAATTAAGATGAAAAATCACTTCTTAATATAATATTGAATAGGTTGTTTTTGAACCCTAATCCCTTATGCTATATTAAAGTGTTAATTTAATGTGCCCATTCAATCAGGTTCAACTAATTTTCAGGCACTATTGTTCAGTAAGTACCAATTAGGTCATTAATTAGCTGGACTTAATGAGTATTCACTTGCATACTGTGTTCAATGTAATTTTTAGGTTTGAAAAAGAAATGCTTTTAAAATAGCTTTAAATTCTAACTCAAATTCAGATGGCAGATTTATACAACAGTGTCTTATTATAGACGTGTAATTCTGTCTGACTTTTTAGCTGTACTTATTACTGAATGTAATAGAGGGGTATGGATAATGGCATTTGCTGACAGTTTCTGTTCTCTGTTCCTACAACCTACAGTTTAAACTGTGACATCTGAGTGCTCCTGGCCAGACTGTTGATGAAAAATCAAGCAAACATGCATGACAACAAGTGGAGACATCTGGGACTTAAATGGGACTTGTTCATATCGTGCTTTTCAAAAACTTATCCTGTCCTATACAGAATCTTTGTAAGAAAGGGGGGGAAAAAATACATACTTGCAAAGGAAAAATAAATTCCAGACAGATTCTTGTGTTTTTGTTTTAATCCAAAGAAACTGATAAGCAAATGAGTTTGCACCATAATAAAAAAAGTGCTACCACTCATGCATTGCATGTTATCTTTAAGACTTTTCCTTACCCATTTTAAGGAACATTTGTAATAAATATTAATGATCAAATATCAGAGCAGTGCTTATTAAATTATGCATGTATCAATGGGCTAGCGAGTGAGTCATCAATAGTTAAAAACAGACTATACATTTCTCATCCTGCATAATGTCTGGAGCCCCATCATGTAATGAGCAACCTAATTGCGCTTATGCCTCTTGCATGTCTTCTGACCAACCAACATGCATATGAAAACAACAAAATGTTATTAATTAGTAACAAGTTGTATTTACCTGGCAGCAGTCCTAATTTATGCTTAATAATTAAAAATTCTGCTTCACCTGCTTTTTTAATTTTTTAAAGAATTTTAGCTTGCCAGTTTTACTGTCAATGCTTCTTAATTGGGTTAAAAAAAAGGTACTGGGAACTGCAGAATTTCCATTGTATTACTTAAGCTTATTTTATAAAATGTTCGAAATACATTAAATTATGACAACAATTACAATACAACACTCGTTCCAACCATCCAAATCACCAATAATATGCTAGATTTCACAATCACAATATGATGTTTAAGTTCAGATTTAGCCAGGCGTAACACAGGCTAGGTTTAGCCTAGCCAGTGGCTAGGCTAAAGCTAATGCAGAATGTAGGCAGTGCGATCTCACAATAAAACAGTCTCTGCCTTACCGGTTGCCTCTCTGCTTGTTTGTAGATTTATCCAGCTCCGCACAGGCCCGCCACATGAGCAGATCATTGTCCAAAAATGATACAAACTCCCCTTTGCTTTGTGTTACCTTATCTGTCAATTGTTCCGTCATTGTCCGTCCCTCTTTATGGTCCGTGTAGTACAATCACTTTTCCGCCATGTTTTCGTCATGTCTTTACTTTTTTTTTGTTTTTTTGTTCATTCTTTTCACTTAATTTCTTTTCTTTTTTTTTCCTCTTCTCGTTTTCATTATCTTCCTTGCCTTCCAGAACACCTTTTTCTACTTGTTTATGTTGTCATATATGTGGCTTGGAGTAGCCTGCAAGCTTGACATTTTGTGGCTTCCTTTCAATAAGGAGCTTCTTTTCGCTGTGCAAAGGCAAGTGGAGTGCATCACTAATAGCTTTTTTGTCAACAAACAACAATTCGCCTGAGCATTTCCTTTAAAGATACCAAGGGTCACAGGGCTGTTTCTATGATTAATGCTTTCCATGCCTGTCAATTTAAGTAGACAGCCATGTCTTGGTAGGTTTGTGCCATAGCCTTTTCTTTTTGAGATGATGCATTGAACAGTAGTGTGAAATGTTTGAAGCTCGGGAAATTGTTTTAAAACCTAACCCTGCTTTATTCTTCTCAGACGAAGCAACATCCTTTTGCCCACGTCAGACCCAGGGTTCACGCAGGTAAGATGAGAGCCCCGTGGCGCTTGTAAGCCATATCATCCTGGAGCAATCAGGTGGGTATTCAAATCAAAATGACATACAAAAATTCTAAAGCTCGTTGACATTTTGCCAACCTTTGATATTGTGGCTGGGTTTTATACCTTCAGGGATCCAAACACAAACCTCGAGGGTATTTCACTGTTTCTGAGTCACAGCGCATAGAGGCTATAAAGCTTCATTTTGGCCTTTTATGCAACCATTCACATCATGTCATTGATTTTGGGACTAATTAGCTCTAATACAGCTGTGGAAAAATGCAGCAAACGTATGTCAAAATGTGCAACATAAAAGAAACGGTCTCTTGTAATAATTCCCATTGTTTACATTTTATTAATTATAGCTTAGCAGTTCATGCTTTTATGTATTTACTTTACTACTGAGACCATGGACATCTGGACCAACCTTACAGATAGGCTTAAGTGACAATGACTGATTAATAATGAGGTCTTCGAGGATGATTTGGATTGAATTAATGCCAAAATTAATAAACTTTTATACACTGATTTTCAAACTTTTATTAACTTAGAAAAGAAATAGAATGACAGAAATAAATAGAGCAGGAAAAATACACATTAAAGATATGAGACACTTTAAAGAATTATTGAAACTATTCTTTTGTTTAGTCAGGTGTGGAGCCCTGTGGTGATCAGGCACTCATATGGCAGCTATGGCTGCTGGAAGCCATGCAGAACTAACAATAAGCTTGATCTCCATGGGCCAATTAGCCTTTGGAGTTCCCATGTAAAACCTTTCATCAAGAGCCTGTGAATTTAGGCCATTACAGACAGAGAGCTGTGCCAGAGGAGCCGCTGTGTCTCCGCGGATATCTTCTTCCCTGTCCAGTCAAGCCTGCACTTGTGACAAGCAGCCCTGTCCTCAAAACGTACACACAGGCTACGGCAGAACAGAAAAAAATGACACTAGACGCTGCTGGAAACCAATTACAGCTCCTAAATCATAGCCTCATTGTCCATTACAGTGGGCAGATGGGGTTGATTGAGCCATCATTATAAATGTAATTTGGCAATATGGTAGCGATTGACGTGCTAATTGTAAATCTTTTTATAGGACAGGATGGGAAGCCCTTTAAAGTATGAGAAAAGTTCAACTTCTGCCAAATTTAACTGAAACGATATGCATGTTTTAAACTGACTTGAACTTTGCTGTTTTTTTTCTCAAATCATTTTAAAGTGTACAAAAAAATAACTTTTTCATTACCCGGACACAGAGGAAGGAAACCAGGAGGTGACACAAAATATATTTTGCACAAAAAAAAAAAAGGCTGTTTGGATATGACAGATTGTAGTTTTAATCATCACAGCTATTTCAGGGAACTCAAATTCAAATCACTCATTGTGCATTAATTTGCAAAAATCTGGTATGCCTCGAAAGCATTGTTGAGTCCTAAGTCACCTAAATTAATTATGGTTTGATGACAGATTAACAGATCTGTCCCATTGGTTTTCCCACGTACCAACAGAGTCTCCGTGAGTTTCAGTTGTCCAGCAGATTCGCAGATGTTGCCTTACAGTGCGAATAGCACAGGCTGCTCTCAATAACTACAAGCAAAACAGCAGCAAAGAACTCCTGTCTTCAAGTGATACATAGAAGAACTGAAATTCCTTGTCCCATTATCTGGCTCATTCAATCCTGGTTCAGGGCCCCAGGAGATGAGAGGACGCAGGGCGCCCTCTGCCACTTTAAAAGTAGTAACCTGAGAGACCAACGATACTGTATTAAAAAAAAAAAAAAAATATATATATATATATATATAAAGATTCAACAATGTTTTTTCAATAGCAGAAAATCAACATTTTCCTTAGAGGGCATGTAGACAGGGTTGTGCAAAGCTCATCTTTTCAGTTTTCTCTTTGTGTGTTGTGTTTATGTGCATGAAGTGACCGATTTCACTCTCTGAATGCAGGTGTTAATGGTTGTGCGCTCACACCGTGTGGGGGGCAAGAACGAGTCTGATGGCCACTCGCTGATATGTTTACGTCTTCCAACAACTGCCCACCTCCTTAATCACAGCAGAGGATGAGGGTCAGCCTCATTCTGGATTCTCCTCACAGCCTGGCTGTAGCTTTCAGTCACGTTCAGACCGTGAGGTTAGAAACATCCGACTTTTCAGAAAAACAAGAGCCGAAGCCCAAACAACACGAAAGGAAATAATTTCTAACACTTTGCTTTTCACATTAGCTCTGCTCTCCCTAGGCACTGAACCCTGGAGAACAGTTGGGGTAACATCCTCAAAGCTTGGCATTTCCAGTGAGGATTAAATACCTGGAATCTGAAGGTAGCAGAAAATGAAAAACTGTCTCGCCTGCATCAAGGAGCAAGCTTGTCATTATTAGCTACAGAGGAAGAAATATGCAACTTGACAGAGGTGAAGATTGTCTTCAACTTTTTTTTATTTCGATGGTCCTTCTTCTTTCTGTCAGGATGCTGCACTGTACCAGCCTTGAAGTGTATTAATGTTACCATTTTAATTGGGATTTTGTTAGATGTGGTGTGCCATTAGCACCGCAGGAGTTAGCTTCTCATGATGGAAGCTGTCAGATTGCTCACATTACTTGAAAGCAATCCCCAACTGGTAGTTCTGTTTTTTGAACCATTTAGCAAAGGATACAAAGATGTTGTGTTTTGTCCCAGTCACTTTGTTAACACCGGGATCTTTTGTCTTCTCACAAAGTGAACAAAAAAATAATCCCTGTCAAAATTAAATGACTTTGCTGAACTGTTATGATAAATGATCAAATTAAATTTGAGGATAGTTCTCATCTATGACATTTACATTTCATGTTAAATGCTGCATTAATCTACTCTATCATAGTCCATGCTTCAACTTACTGTCCAACAGAGCCCTTAAGAAACATACAGTGGCTACCTACTGACCAGAAGTCTAGCAGCTTCAAAGTCTCCACAGCTGAATATTTTAATTGGCATAAATTTAGATCTGAGTGTTTTGAAAACATGTATTTAAATTCCACATCATAGAATGCGGAGAAAAACAAAACCTAAGTCTAAAAAAGTTAAGATTGTAAATTTACAGGTTGTGCTGTGGTGGCGCAAGGGTTAAGCACAACCCACATATGGAGGCCTTAGTCCTTGATGAAGCTGTCGCGGGTTCGATTCCCAACCTTGGTGATCTTTGCTGCATGTCTTCCCCCTTCTCTCATTACCCACTTTCCTGTCAATTAACTATCAAATAAAGGCTACTAGAGCCAAAAACATCTTTTAAAAAAAAAGATTGTAAATTTACTGAGCTTGTGTCAACATAAAAACAGAAGCAGAATCATGGGATTAAAAAAAATGCTTCTAGCCAAGCTCTGTTTGAGAACAAGCAATAGTTTGTTGCTTGGGTTCAGTAAACAGGTCAGTTCTTTCTTTGACATCAATAACTTCTAAACTAACCATGAAACAGTCCCTCCAGAATTTTGCGATTCTCCTGTCATAAAAATTCTTGCAAAGTCAGCAGATCCCCACATAGTTTTGCAATAATGCATAACTGTGTGTGTGTTGCAAATTTTCTGCAAGATTTTCAGATACATTGGGTCTAAGTGACTGCCAACCCCCACCTACAGGTGGCAGTAATTCTTACTTCTACTACACTGCTACCTCAGCTTTACTTGGTGTTATAGTCCGTGATTAGTGTGGCGAGTAAAAGTCAAACTTACTGTCTTAATAGGTACAAATATCTCAAAATTTCTTGCACATATTTTAAAAGAAGCACCAAAACATCTGTTATTTTGATTGCAAAATATAAACAAAAGCAATCGCAAAATGCAAGAAAGACTAATTAAACTACTGAGAAACAACAAAACGCATCTAGCTTTAACATGAAGATGGTCGTCAATACAGGTTTATCATAAGTAAAACAAAAGATACTGTTCAGTTCAATTCGTTTTATAGAACTGAACAGTGTGAATTCAAGACTGTTTTGAATTGCATAAAATGCAGGTTGTTTGCTGGGTGTGTCTGAAGGTGCAATGGGTGAAGGTGTGATTAAACTCCATGATTTGTATTCATCTTCTTTTTTTTTTTAACATCAAGCTGTTCAGGAACTGCAGATATAAATTGGTTCTACCTACGGTTGAGCATCACATGTAAATGTCTTATTATTGTCTGGTATTAGATATTTAGCATAGATAAATGAAGAAAGTAAGTGAAATGTTTGGACTCTTTTCAAATTAAATCAAAAGTGGAGAAATACAAGCAGCAGGTATGTCAGTGACAAAGAATGCACTGCTCTCAAAAGATGTCACGTGCATTAAGTTGTTTTTTTTAAAATCACTGATAGCTTTTGTGTGCACAATGGGGTTTTTTGGGGGTTTTTTTTGCCAAATGTTCAACTCCGCCAAATGAAGATGCTGTGACATGATCAATTACGGCAGGAGCATAGACTTTCATTCGCAACACATCGCTCCTTTGTGGACGGCACATAGAGACAAATGTTTGCTTCAGTCAGATTGAACTTCAAAAGGCCCGTGTTTGTGAGTGCGGGTGCAGGTTTGTGTGCGTCGGCCACCTACCTTAAAATGAAGAAAAGTGACCTGTACTGAGAATCGCCCCATTCCCCACCCAGTCTAAAGGCAAAGAAAAAAAGTGAAAGAAAAATCATCTGGCTGTGTTTGATAGATTTCACAATAGTTTTAGTTTTACATGAAAATTGCAGCCATTCAGCTCAAGTGACATCCAAGGGTTTATGATTTGCTCTGTGGATACACGGCCACCTCTGCAATTCCATATGTCCCCAGTAGCTGACAGGAATGGATAGGCTCTATTAACATAGATACAGGGGGCCAAAGGCTGTGTTGTAACTAGTGCTATTAATCCATATAGTTGGTCTATCAAGGTGCTGCGCTACATGGGATCAAAAGAAGTAGCCTGCTGTCATGGAAACACCTCCTGAATCTAAAAGGATTGTTTGAATGAAGTTTTTAGCAATTCTCTTGATGAGGCTGAATTTCTTTTCTGTTTCGTACAGACACAACTATATAGTCCTGATCATTTTTTACTGTTGGACTTTGACAATTTTGTGTGTTTGCTTGTTACACGTTTGATTTTTTTTCAGTTATTTTGTGTGTGTGTGTGTGTGTGTGTGTTGTTTGAGTGGAGCAAGTAGAAGAAATAGCCACATTTCATGCATCTTAACAGCTCCCCAGTGTCTCAAGGCTGGGCTCTTTGATCAACACCATCAGGTTCATGTCTTGAAAGGGACATGCTGGGCTTATATACTGTGTACATTTGCAATTTAGATTCAACATGAAGAATATTGTTTGAGCATTTGCATGTCAAAGGAAGAATTTTAATTTTTGAAAATGGTCTGGAGTGGCGGTAGTTTGATTTTCTTTCTTTTCTTCATTGTTCATTCTTTCCTTCCTTCCTTTTTGTGCCCTGAGGATCTTGTTTTAAAAAAAAAAAGAAAAAAAACCCCTAAAATTAAATAAAGCAAAAATGATGATCTCTCCCTGGAAGTGTGGCATTCTTTGGTATAATTTATTAAAGGGGTTATCTTCACTCTCCTATTGATGCAAAACAAAGGTATGTTAATGTAATTTTAATATATTTGATGTTACTTGCTATTTGAATATAAATCTGTTTCCTCTTGATTGTTAAGAATATAAATGAATTATAAAGCTTGAGCAAATACAGCATGAATTTCTGCTTTTGCTACATCGTAATGCTTCCGTACAATTCCCTTCATTTCCTGCAATGTGTGTGTCCATCTGAACAAAGCTCTAAGTTAAATAACATGACAACTGCACTTAAAGATCATGTTCACAAATATACTGATCACTGTGATCGTTACACCATTTAATATCCCATCACACCTTGTATTCTTGTAAGAGCTTCTGTAAAAATGGAACTGGTTTACTCAATGTTAATCACTTCTGATCTTAGACATCTGGTTTTTCACTGTTAAATTAGCAATATTGTATAATATTTACCAACAGCTGCTCCATAGCTACTCCCATGGGAGGCTGAGAAGAGGAGGTTAATATTACCAGTATTTTTTTTTTCCCTTATGGCTGGAAAAAATACATCTGCTTCTATATTTACGAAAAACAAGATGATAGTACAAAAAAAAAAAGGAACCATACATTTTGGCTTTATAAATTCAAAAGCAGTGGCTGACTCTGTATGCAGCATGAAACCCTAAAATATCATCTTTTATGTCATGTTTTAGTCCTTGTCTAAATTACCCAATTTCCAGCTTCCTTAACATGCACCAGAGGGACCGGAGGGAAAGCTGAGAATGGTGATAAATATTGTTCTTATTTATGAAATGTAATAATGAATTTATTATGTTTCTTTATTCCGTTAGAGAAGTAGGACACATTAAAATGATCCGGTCTCTGGAGCAAAACAAACCTATAACCGAAGGAAAGGCTTTGGAATTTCTGTCATTGCTGGAGACATGAAAAGCCAGATAACGTAGCAAAAAGTAGCGCAGTTCATCAAGGAAGGAGCTGGAGGAGAATGGAGACTGGCGCGCCAATGCAATAGAAGCTGTTCGCATAATTGCTTCGTTAAAAACCAGTTGCTTTGTGTGTCCTAGAGTAATTAAGCAGTTGGAATTTTACATTACACTAGTGAAAATTAACAAAGAGCACATCTGGGTGTCCCATAGGTTTAGTCATTAAAAAGCCCATTATTTTTCAAATTACTTTTTCAATCTTTCAGCCCCCCTAATCCGGAGGTATTTCCCAATAGACAAGTTCCCGTTCTTGTTTTGAATGACTCCTAAAGGGAAGTTAAACATTTAGCGGATGGTGTGGCCCACGTTGACTGCTCCTTATAGCCGAACTCTATGTCCAAGGAAAAAAGGGCGGGGGGGGAAAAAGGCGGAAAAAAAAAAAAAAAAAAAAAGATTGTAAGAGGGAAACAGCTCTGTCACTGTTGGCATTAAATTAGAAAAAAAAATCTAAATTGCTACTTAAATGTACAAAATCCCTTAATACTTTTGAGTTTGCAGTTTATGTAGTTTCCAGACTGACCACAGTCTCTTGTGGAAAGCAGTGATTATTGAAGCAATACTGTCACATGATCATACTTATTACTCTTAATCACAATGTAATGATGGTCCAGCAGGAAAAAGCTGACATTGAAAAGTGTCAGTAAAACTATTAAGGCTAAGTGTTTGATTTTTTTTTTCTGATAGAGATTTTTTTCTTACCGTTCAAATGAGTTTTACAAGGGACATGAAGAATTATTTTTGTATTTTTACAAATGAGGTAAGTTTTATAGTAACGTCCAGGTGCAGGATAGTAGGCAGAAACAGTGAGGCATTGAATTGTTTCAAAGTTTCCTGACCGGCTTAAAGCATGCTTTGATCACGTAATTGTAATGGTTGATTTATTTAAAATTAGAATTTTAATGCAGAATTATAATAAAATTGTAAAATGCCATTATGCAAGTATTCTACATTTTCTTTTGTTATTAAAAAGAAAAATTAAATTGTTTATATCAGGGGTCGCATTAAAAGAACCTTTTCCGTATTTGACTGTTAAATCGGTCTGTCATTTTGACAGATTACAATGTGTGTACACATACAAGCAAAGTCATAAAAACTTTGCAGGCCATTGCATGCATAAATATCTAAAAGAAGAGAGTCGGCTATGACAGGCTTCAAACTGAAAAAAAAAAAAAAAATGCCTGGCTAGCATATCAACAATGTTTTTTTCTCCTCTTTGGGGCCACTGCTGCTTGAACATCACAGGGATCCTGCTGTATATATTTCAAGATTGTTTGCAACGCCACTGTGTTTCTGTAAAATATCAAATCCATACAACTGAACAACAACACAAAACAACATTCAGTAAATCGATAAATATGTATTTTAATTAATTTCAGCGTATCTAAAAAAAATTATTTTCACTACGCTTACATTTGTGACATTTTTTTTTTATGTCACAGAGCATTTTTCTTTATAAATTATGTAAATTAATTAGAGGACAATTATAGAAATCCACCAGCACAAACGTTGGACTACAGCCAAAGATTGACATCTGGACGGAAGTGAATAAAAGTATTTATTTTTATTTTTTTTATCATGATCCTGTCATAATTACTGGCTGTGTCTATCTTTGGATTTGCCACCTTTTTTTTTTCTTAGTAGCAGTCTCTTAGTAGGCAGCATGGCATGATGCATTCACACGTCGTCAAAAATTCTCAAAGAGTACAAAATATTGGGGGATGAATTATTTACTGATATCGAAATATTTCTGGGGGTTTGCAGCAGTGGTGGAGAGTGGCCAGCACTTTTATCCATGTGAGACTCTTGACAGTGTTTGCTGCTGTAACAGGCAGAGCCTGAGATAAGAGAGCGCTTTGACCAGTCTTGCCTCCCCATGATAAATCTTTATCATTTTAGGTGATGGTCTGACCTCTAAGATGGGCCCTGGCCAAGGGGGTCCTCATTAATACAACTTGAAATCCTCTCGGCTCATTTCTTCTATTTCCTTGATGCCCGTGACCTTTCTGGGACTGCCAGCATCAAATGAAACCCCCTTTTAAGGTTCAAGTTTGATGAGCGGATTGCATGATTCTGTTTGGTCAAAAAAGGTAGAGGAGAAAAGCAGAGGTTGGAGTTACGTTTTCTCCAGTGCCAGAATCCTGATGTGTTGTTTGTGAATATCTTCTGGCAGAAATGAGATGGAATGTATAACCTGCATCTCTGTTTATTTATTTATGTATTTTGTTGGTGGTGGTGGTGGTGGTGGGCAAATGACACAACAAAAACTTGTCTGTACTGGGTTTTCACAACGTTTTCATGACTCTTCAAACATTAGGGGCTTAGTGGAAAACAGCTTCCTAAAATGACATCAAAATCATAGAGATCATAGAGCAAGTAATGAGAGGATGTCAGATTAAGCTGTGCACTTACTCAGTTATCAGCTGGGCTTTTTTTCTATTATTTTTTACTGCACCAAAGTTTTAAAGTTACTCTTCCATTTAGACATTGTTGTCTACTAAGAGGCTAAATATAAAAGTAGATGGTATGGAAATTGTAATAAGTGCAACACCATCTAGGGCAATAGAAGTTCCCTTAATGATAATAAGTTTCTATATTTTAAATGGAGTGAGCATGAACTGGAAAAAAACACAATTACAAATTGGACAAACTTTAAAAAAACAAAGTCATTTCAAATTAATCACAGGTACAATCTAATTGATTCTTGGTATAAACATTATTCGTAGCATAAAACCCTTTCTGCCCATAAGGAAACCCAGGAGTTTGCATTGACAATGTGTATATGGCTCCACCGTGAAGCAGTTGATATTACTGTTGCCTTACAGCGAGAAGGTACTGGGTTCAAATCCCACCTCACGGTATGTTCTGCATGTGTTGCAAATTAACTATATTACTTTAAGTGATGCTTCGAATTCCATCAAATTGGTCATAACTTGTCATGTAGATTAGGTTTTTTTGTTAGTACCTGTTTGAACTGAGCAGTGAGTATTTCCCATTGCGTTTGAACGCAGCTCACTCAGAGTTTCTCATTATTGTGGGCCGGCCCCGAACGCGCAGTATCTGAGGTCAACTCTCCGTTAATGCTTGCGGAAATACTCAATAATGGAGAACGTCGAAGTTGTTAGTCTGATTAAATAAACCCAGGTATTTCATTTTGTTCAAATGAAAATTTACATCACACCAAACTAATTGTACGTAGTTCTGGTGTTTCAGATCGGTTTTACGTGGCTACGTAAAACTGCAGCCCCAACAGAACTCTGACCAGAGCTGCACAGTTTCTGTCTTTTTTTATTGCTGTCCTTTCTTCTGAGAGGCTGCTGCTTGCAGCACTGCTAAATCACAGTTATCTACAAAACTTAACACATGTGTTCCTGGTGGTGACCCTACTTACACCTACGCTCCTCTAGACTGAACAACTGATAGCAGACGGCATGTCCACGGTCCACAGTTAAACTGTTATTTGGAGCTTTCCTGAGGTAATCATGAGCCAATAAATTAATGCAGATATCCCTGAAGCAGGAGGTAAAACGTGCGATACTCTGGGTTTAGACACTTTTCTTGGTGGACTCACATTTCATAAGTTATCTCTGTAATGGACTGGCAACCTGTCCAGAGTGTTACCCACCTCTAGCCCGTTGACCAGTGGTGGAGGCACCAGCACCCCTCCTGGATGGATGGATGGTTCGATATTTGTACCTGTGTTTGAACAGATATGTCTATTCTTTGAAGGTGGATTGTTTTCTGGCCTATTTGATCCGCAATTAAATTGCATTATGTCTGGCAAGCTAGTACAAGTTTCTGTCTTATTGTAGAGAGGTGAAAAAACAAGTTGTAAGTAAATGAAAAGACTAAGTATAAAATAATCAACGCAACAATTTTTCTTTGTATATACTTAATTTCTCGTTGTACTAAGTTCTTTACTGTTGTTTCAGTTGTTCGGTGCTATTCCATATACAGCCGCTAGGGGAGCGCAAGTCGCATTGATGGCTTAGAGAAGGTTGGACACAAAGAAGAAGAATAACCCGCGTTAGATGCTAAGGAAGTCCAACGTGTGTGTCTCGTCTTTTCTATCACAGGTCATTAAAATGTATTTCGATGCATATATGTTAGTTATCTTTGAGATTAAAATAAGTTATTAAGTTGCGTGTCAGTAGTGAGTCACGTTATTTAGTTTGTGACTAGTATCGTGGAGAAACCGGGACATATTTCTGAAAGATAATTGAAAGCTAATGCTAGCGGACTTTATGCATGCTTGTGATCTAGCAGAGGGGCAGCTGACGAACTGTTGAGTTCACTTTGAATATATTGTGTTTTGCACAGTCTGAGACTGTTCTCACACAAAGGATATTATTTTGGTCTTTTTATTTGTAAAATTGACGCTTCTTTATGGGTTATTGCAACAACAACAAAAAAAACAATATTGTTATGACATTCAGTGAGTAAATAATGGCCGTCTATATGTGAAGGGCTAGCTTATTGCAGTTATGCAATACCTGAAGTGTTGCATATAATGTGTTGTATATGTAGTATGTTCATGACAGAAAATAATATACTTCCTGTTAAATTAAGAAGAAAACTCAACATGTGTGTCTCGTCTTTTCTATGTCCGGACATCAAACATTTAAAGAGCAAAATTACCTTATAACGCTTAGCCCATCCACGGTTGCTGGGTTGCTATAGTTATGTAAATATGATCTACCTCAGCTTCAATTCATGCAGTTATGGCTGGGTTTTTTTTTATTTTTTTTTTACTAATTTTTCTTTATTTTGTGTGTTGTTCTCTTCTAAAGGGAGGTGTTTTAGACCAGATTATTTGGAGTACTCACTTCTGTCTTTTGATATCTCTTAACAGGTATGAGTTATACAAAATATAATAAATATATTTAAAATGTTGTTTTGGTTTGTCTTTACCGTTTTGTTATAACAAGACCAAATGTTTTTGTTTAATGTACTGTAAATAATGTACTTCTACATATGTCCAAAGATGGAGAAATGCTGTGCTGGGCTAGCAGGCTGGAAGAGTTTTAGACCGGATTGTTTGGAGTACTCACTGCCGTCTCTTTTGCTATCTTTAACAGATGGAATAAAAGGCGGTAATCCAGATCTGTTTTCCTGAACTCACCACATCAAAGACACAACGTAGAGCTTGAGGCTGGACCTGTCACACATGCTGAGGTTCTCTCTGGGTACTCTGACTTCCTCCCAAAGATCAAAAATATGACTGTAAGTTTAATCGCTGAGGTATGAGAGTGTGTGACCATGGTTGTTTGTCCTGTATGGCGATCTGTCCAGGTGTACCCAGCCTCTAGCCTCGTGCTGGAGATTGGCACCAGAAAAGTTTCATACCACAAATAATTCCTTTGTATTTTGCTGCCAATGACCCAGGCTTTCTTGTAGTCTTGAAAGTAGTTTCAATTTGAGGTTCTTCAGGCTTTCTGAAGTTTTCCTTTTGAGTTTGAGTGCTTTTTCACTCATTCTCTTGTGAGATTTTATGCTTGATCTTAAATGCATGTTGTGCAATGTCTGCTTTAAAAATATATATATATATATATATAAAACAAAGAAACCAGACAAGCAAAAGAAAAAAGGAAAGTCAGACTAAAAAGACTTTCCACTTTACATGAATAGCATTCGAAAGACTTGCTTTAGAAATAGAAGTGCTTTATCTTTTAGCTACCATCTAATCCATGCAACATTTTACACAAACAACTGTTTGGGAATTACCTTTATGTTTGCGAAACCACTTTTCCATAGATTCAACTAAATAAATTGGAATGAAGTGTAACTTTTCTCTTACACAAAGTGTCTGAAGATCAGATTTAATTTTTTGTTTGTTTAGTAATGTAGAGACACAGTCTTTCAATGAATAATTTATAATTTAAGTAACAGCAAACAATGAAACAATTCCCCTTTTTATTAATTATACTAAATACATAATAATACATACAATAATACATAGTAATAAATTATACTAAAATGAGTAAAAATAAAGTAGAAAAGAGAGACGTCCTTAAAGTCTGTAGAAACATTTCTCAGAACCACTTAAAAAATATATATACTAAATAATACAAACGAGTTCTTGAAAGCACAACATAAAGAAATGAGAATTCAGTGAATTCTTTTGCAAAGGGCTGTCTTAGTACACATTCACTCAGTTCAAATGACCTGTGTCGCCCCTTAAAATAGATATAAAATTCATGAGATACTTTTTTCCTAATATAAAATGACATCGATATTATTAATTCATTTAGGAAATAGAGGTTTTGTGTCACAGTCAAGCCGTGGACTCTAATTATAGTGTGATTAATAGTATGGTAATTGCGATCCCTCCCTAAGACAGATTCACTTGCTCAAAATAAATCACAACGACTAAAATCTCTCGAATCCCTGTGATCAAATATCCATCGTCAAGGCTTAAACCATTCTTATACATGGAGTGGTAGTTTTTAGTGCTTAAATGGTTAGCCTGGCAGAAACCTCAGTGGTGGATTTTTAAAAATCTAATATTGAAAAAAAAAAATGTCACACTTAGTCTGTATCTACTGTCACACTTCACTCAGCAGACTATGCGAAGCACTGTAAATACATTATGCTCTTATATTTTTAAATGAAATGCCTTCCCAACAAGTTGTTTTAATTGGAGACAGCAAAGGTAAAGCATTTCATTTATATTGTCTCAACATTTAAACAATCCTCTAAGAAGAACTTTAAGAGCCGAGTAGAACCTTTAAAGCTGAAAGGCTCTCTTTTAATTAATGCACACCGCATTAGCTGCTCTGAAGGGGAAAGAGCCAAGACAAATTGATCTTAAAAGACACAAACTAGTGTAGACTGCCCCTCAGACATTTGTTTGGTTGTAGTGTTTATCCCACCACACAGCACCTGTAATTTCTCCCATATGGTGTCTAACTGATATGGATTAAACAATTAAGACTATTTTCTCTGCATGACTTCTGGCTTCTCTCCCTGCCTCACAGAGCTGCATTTCAAATTAAATTGCCCCCAAAAGACGAGTTTGCTTTACTTCCCCTGAACAATTAAATATGGCAGGCCCTATCTCTAATTCAAGCAAAAGGGTTGGTTTGGTGACCGACGTTTAAATGTGAATCTACTGCTTTTTACTTTTTTTTTTTTTTCTTAGTCACAACTTTTCACTTTAGTTTTGTTTTCATAGCTTCCCATCTCTCATACTAAACATTAGTAATGGTGGTGACGTTGGAATTCATTTAAAGTGTTTAGATTTAGAGTAAAAAAAGTTTTCTTAATATTCAGCCTGGACTGCATTGCGAACTTATTCATGCTTCTTTTAATTTAAATTTTTTTCCAGTTTTTTCCATCAGCTTTTGAACCAGTTTTGTTAGGTTAATTCAAACTAGTGCATAATCTTCAAGAAGCGAAGGAAACGATGCATGATTTTACATTTTTTTCGTCTGTATTTGTACTTCCTGCCTCCCTGAATTAATGCTGTACTTTGTAGAACCGTATTTCACTGCAAGACCTTCGGGGATGTCTCCACCAGTTTAGCACATCTAAACAATTACAGTCTTGCCCATTCTACTTTGATAAAATACAAAATAGTTTAAGCACAATGTTTTCCCAGAAGTTCTCCACATGATTTGTTTAAAATTTGACTGAGTCATTATAACACAATAGATCTAATGAGCTAAACCATTCTACTGCTGCGTTGGCAGGGTGCTTAGAACATCAGCTTTTGAACCAGTTTCAAGTGTTTGGAGCCACTAACAGGTTTTCTTTCAGGAATGTTGGTCAGTATTTAGCTATTTCCTGTCAACTGTGACCTGTTTTCCTGTCTGAATAAATTCATCCTCACAACATCGTGTAGTGAGGTTGTCATGTGTCACTTGGCAGATATTGTGTTAAGGTTAATATAAAAGTTGCATTCTAGTTTCATCTGAACAGTACACTTTCTCCTAGATGTTTGCTGTCTCTTTAAATAGGACTGATGATGGTCATTCTTCAGTGCCTTTCTTTTTCTCACTCTGTGATAAAGGTCAGATTTATTGTCTGCACAATTAAGAGTTATTCTGTAAACTCTGCAGTTCCTCCAGTTACCACTGGCCGTTTGACTGCTTCTCTTTGATGCTCTCTGTGCTCGGCCTGTCAGTTTAGGTGATTAGCCATGCATTAGGACTGAAGTTGTACCACATTCTTTCCATTTTCATATGATAGACTGAACAGCTCTATGTGAAATGTCTCCCAAGCTTAAGATATATTTATAGAATTAGGTTTACAACCTAACTCTAAACATCTTCACCAATGTATCCTTCATCTGTCTGTTGTGGGTTTTTTTTTTTTTTTTTTTTTTTGGTCTTTATGATGCTGTTAAGCATCTTATGTGCTTAAAGTTTGTAAAGTAAATATTGCAGTTATTTTGCTTCATTACTCTTAAAAGAAGTACATAATAAAATACTTTTGAGTTCATTACTGACAGATGCAGGAGAAACATTTGGTTAAAAATAGCTGCCCAGGCAAAAAAAAAAAAAAAGTGTTTTATTTCAGTTCAACTAAGATAAATTATTGTTCAAATTTAATTAAAGACCATCACAAGTTTTACTTCAACAGCAAACAATTATGTTGCCACCATACATCTTAGCAAATGAGGCTGTCTTGTCACACCTTATTGTGGAAAGGAGTGAAAACAGACAGGTGGCAGAAAAAGCTGTCTTTTGATTTAGAAAGCTCAACCCAATTAAACTTTATAAATACAGAGAAGACAGGTGTTTTTTCTGTAGTGACTTAAAGATTTGCAACAATACCCCAAAGCAATAGCTTCAACTGCACAAAGGACACCCAAGTGTGTTGAGGTTAATTGGATGACCCAATCCATCTCAATTAAAGATTTTAAGGCGCACATCCCCTGGTGTGTGTGTGGAAATTGAAAACGGCTGCAGATGGTTCTTCCTAAGGGGTTGCTGCAAATAACTGCTGGCAGATATCACCACTGTTTGAAACATGGGGGGAAACATTTGCTCGGGTTAAAATTAGTTTTGAGTAGTATCATTTCAGAACATTGACTCAAATGCCACAATAGTCTCGGTGATTTCTGTTGTGATCTGGATGAGGCCCAGAATCAAAAACGTGATTTTGTCCAAGATTATGCTGCTGTTGCGAATACACACAGTCCGTATGAATTTAAATTACATGGTCCATATTTCAATCTGCCCATTTTGTATCTGCTTAATCCTTGCAGGGCCAAATAAATTCTCACCTAACAAAGCAAACTGGATCTAATCTCTGTCTGATTCGAGAAAAAATAAAATAAAAATCTGAACGAAAACATTTATGCAGGACTTAAAAAGCAAAAACCAAAGATATGTATAAAGTGGACAACTTTTTCACAGCACAGTATCATTTTTAATTTCAACATCGTACCACTTTGAGGCAAAATAAAAATGCGCTGTGAAAGTGCAGTTGACAGATATGCATCTGCTGCAGGGACATGCATATTTGCCTGCAGCATTGTGACATATTTCTTCATGTCACATTCTTTATGTGAGATAAATAATTTCTTAAATGAAAACCATAGTACAGCTGCTGAAAAAGGAAATTCACTTATGGCCATTTAACTTAAACAGAGCTTGGTATTTTTACTGATTTTATCCTTTATCGTTGTGTTATTTTTGTCATACAACTACCATCTATTGACTAATATTATAATCAAACTCTAAATCAAGTTTAGCAGGTTTAATAAAAAAAAAAGAGGCAAATTTACATGTTCAAGATTCAGATCTTTACACACACATTCTTCCATTCCCACATCACAAAAGCCATCTCGACTGTTTGTGTTGACACTAATAGAGTTGATTTCCCATGGCATTGTGGTACATCTATTGCCACACACATTGGCGGGGCTGAAGTCGCATCATGTTTACACTGAACACAATGACTTCTGCTTGCCCACACTGCTTCTGTCTCACACGCACGCGCACACACACACACACACACACACACACACACACACACACACACAGTTAAGGAATTGACAATGTCCAGAGGGATGCAATGTGACATCTCCAAGGTTCAATGTTAACCTCATTTTGTCATTAATGCTGTGATGTTACTGCCAGCACAACAGACAAGAAGAGCATCTAATCAAAGACGTGCACTGCCAAACACACATTACAGAGTGTAACATCAAAAAAAAAAAAAAATAAAAAAAAAAAAAACATATAATTTTGGTTTAGATTCGGGGTGAATCTGGAGATGTAGCTTCTTTTGACCTTTCTGACCTTATAATCCTACAAACATTTCCAAACTCTATTGTGATCTACCTGTTTCTTTTTTTTTTTTTTTTGTTTGTTTGTTTTTTGGGGGGGGTTAGAAGTTTCAATATATTAACCTCTGAGAATGACACAACAAAATGCACATTTAATAATATGCATTAGAATCATATTATCTCTGGCAAGTGAGATGTGAATACCAAAGAGGAAAAAAAAACAACAATGATGGTCAAGTTTTGTTATTCCTAATTGCGTAGTTGTACAGATATTGAATACATATACAGCATTGAGTAATTTCTTTCACCATCAGGCACCAGTGTTTAATTAAAAAATACGAGCCAATATGAGCCACATTTTAATTGCTGGTGTTATGATATGTTTAGGCAAAATTCTTTGTTTTGGCTAAGGGCCATTCATATTTATAGTTTTGCTAAATATGCAGGCTAACAGCATTTCTGTTAAAATATTGTGAAATGATTATTTTTAGCATTATCGTCCTTTTTAGAAATCTGTTTTTCCACATTTAGACTACTTTTTATTCACTTTGCTATTCAGAAGTCGGACAAAAATATCAGCATGCTGCATATATTTGTCAGCTGTGTGAAAATGAACTCTGATTTTGGAGGCAGAGCATTCATTGATTTTCTCCTTTAAGCAATTTACTGAAACACCAGAAATAGCACATTTCTTTTTGTCTGAGAGTCATTGAATATTGATATTTCATTATACTAAGGTGTGACTCTTATTGATGTTTTGCTTAGATAATAGATTCAGCCAATATTATTTGACATATGTCCTACAGGTAATTACAGAGCTAATTGGGTTACGGTAGGCTAGTCAAGGATTTAATTTTTCGCATGAAGCAATTTGCTTGACCAAACATCGGCCCAATTAAATCCGTACTCTAGAAGTGGCTCAGACTAGAGGCTTTCAACCATGGGGGGCACATAAATATTGTGAATATTCACAGGGTAATTGTTAAACAGTGTTTGTGAGAAGATTTAAATGAGAATAGAAGTTAAGACTTCCAGTGATACAGTGAGTAGACTGAATGGAGTGGCTTTCTTTACACTGACTGAGGCAGGTTTGTGATGAAAATGTTTTCTGAAAGAGGCTTAACTGTCATATCAAGAGATCCACCCACCACAGCATTGAATCTCTGCGGCTCCTTCAGAGTTCGCTTGGCTCTCTTTCCCTTAACCAGTATGTCTGTTTAGGTGGATGGCTGTGTTGTGGTTTTTATTTTCAGATGATGAAAAGTTCAGAGCTTTTCTTTCATGACCAAAACATGTTTTAAACTTGTCCACAATTTTATCTCTGACCTTTCTGCTTTTATCGTTGGTCTTCATGATGTTGTCCTCACTAATTTTCTATTTACCAACCCTCAAATGTCTTCTAAGAACAGATATTGATAGATTGATACAGAGACAGTTGAAACTGGACGTCCACATACACTAAAAAGGGACCTTTTTTCCCCCTCATTGTCTGAAGTTAAATCAGAACAAGCTCCTCTTTTTGAAGTCAGTTAGAATGATAACAATTATTTCTATTTGCTATATGTGACAATAATGGAGAGAAATTCAATTTATTTAACTTCCCTTTAGGATAAATAAAGTATTTTTTTTTAAATTTGTAAATATGTTAAAGATTTCTTTATAATTGTCTTTAAAATTAGTAGTTCTTGGTTCAACCTTTGGAGATAATGTATCAAGGAAGGATTCTTGGTAAAATTAAATTATGGACAACCCTGATCATCCTCTTAAAAAATTGATGTAAAACAAATGTGTCTTCAGTCAAAGGTTTATTCAGTATCACTGTATTCCAGATGGCTACATGAGATCCTTGCTGCAAACAGCCAACAGCCTCTATAACAACTCTTTGAAGAAACTTGGATGCGTTAGCCTAACTTTTGAACTCCCTCTGGAATTAATAACATTTTTGAACTGAGTCTATAATGCCTGATAAAGCCTACCTCCCTGTTGATCCACAGCTATGCAACTCTAACATTCAGTGTTAGTTACAAAAAAAAATAATTCATGCATTTATCACTCTACCTAGGACTATTCTAATTCTCCGTTATAAACTGATCGAAACATTTTTTTTTGTAAAACTGCCATAATATATCTACTTTAAGTGTCTTCTAAATGTAAAACTGACATTAAAATCTGTCAGGAAAAAAATATTTTTTGAATTTGAAAAAAATGATCTTTTAGAGATAATAAATCCACTCCATTTTTAACAGAAGCTTCACTGAGACTGCATAGTTGCAGTTAGTTTAGTGAGAGTCATGCTTCAGCTAGACTCATACCGCAGTGAATTCAGGAAGTAGGGAGTATCTCCAGCTTAAGATTAAGCTTAAAATGCTCCTTTTTGATAAATCCTATAGTAGGTTTGGCTTAGGTGACATTGAAGTATCCCTTTAGTCATGCTGTTGAAGTCTCAAGGTTCTGGCAACCCCCAACAATGTGTTGACCATCTCTAGTCAGTCTGCTGTCTTTAATCTCTTTCTTTTACATTTACATATATACCGTAATCACATTGTTGTGATTAACCTTTGTGTTTTCTCCCCCTTTTTTCCCTTTTCCACTCCAGATTTTGCTGATTTGGCATTTCCCTGTTTGTCTTCCCTGTTCTCTCACCCTCCACACTGCTGCCTCCCAGCCAGTCAAGGGAAATGCAGCTGTCTGTCTTAATTCTTGTACTGCTAGAGGTCTCTTTCTATAAAGAGGGAGTTCTCTGCTTCACTGTCACGCACCACATTGTGCATGCACAGGGTGGGGAAATGAATTAAATATTCAATGCAATCTGCTTCAAGGGCAGTGCAAATTTTTTTATTTTTATTTTTTTTTACAAATAGTAATTTTCTAATGATTTTGTCATTATAGAGTGATTGAATCAGTCTCTGCTGAATTGAAATAACATGTAATTGTATTGAGTTATATGGAATGGGGGTGGTGCACAATCATATAGTTAGCATTTTTACATGATGGCAGCAAAATTTAATTTACACACTCAACAAAGTTTGTTACCATAATAAACAAAGTGCCTTGTCTGCATAGATGGACCCATTCATTCCTTACCAGCCCCCCATTGAACAGAAAACAGAGGGAACACTGCTTGCTGATGGAAGGAGGTGTCATCAGAAATCATGGAGGCCCTGTTTGACTGATAATGGTCAAAGTGCGTACAGGAAATTGAATATAAACTCCATGTTAGTCTGCCACTGGATTCTGAAATATAGCAATTTTTGAGGGAACATTTTGTTGATAACGTTAGAGCTGCAGTTTTGGTCTTCTGAATGGCATATTATTTTACTTAGCATATAAATCTACTCAATGGATTTTAGACTCAATTTTAGATCAAAATTATGGGTGATTGCATGGGTAGAACATGACTTTGTAGTAGTGATACGAATGACTAATTATTAACATAATACACTTGATGTATTTCTATGCACGGATTAACTCTATTACTTATGCTTGCATACAGGGGTGCAATAGCCATGGGAACAAATGTGGGGTGTGGTCTTTCCTTGTGGAATTTAAATGTTTTCCTTATGCATGTATGGATTTTCTCCAAGAAAGCTTTGGACTACACACAGTCCAAAGCTTTGCAAAAGTAATTTTGTGGAAATTCCAAATTCCAGATGCCTGTGAAGTTATATTAATTTAATGACTATGATTTTCTGACTTGAGCTCATCAGTGAACTGCAGCACAGCAACACAAAATGTTGAAATGCATAATTTCTTTCAGAGGTTGTAAGACCTCATGCAGCCTCAGATGTATGGCTCCAAGGAGGAGAGATCTGTACTATATGTTCTACTTGGCCAGAAAATGTACATTAAAAGAAGCAAAGCAAAACAAGATTAAAAAAGCCTATGATGTTGAAGGTTTTTCAAAATTAAACTACAAAAAGATCCCTAAGAAGGCTTTAAAATACCCGTAGAGTGCTAAGATCTCTTCTTGAAAAAAAAACTGAGTTTCACTCATATGTATTATTAATTGAGCGTCAAAGTCCACAGTCTACATGAGTATAGCTGCTGAGCATGTCGATACTTTTACATCAACAGTGTACCCAACTGCTGATATGTCCACCTAAATGATGTGCCATGTTACAAAGCTAAAATCAACTCAGCAATTTTCTTAAAAGTGACAGTGGCCTACAATATGACCAGATCTAAGTCCAGTAGAAAGTCAGAATCTCTAAGAATGTTTCTTACACCTTGTTGAATATATGCTACGAAGAATTTAATTCAGTTAATTCAGGCAAAAGGTGGTATAACCATATAGTGACAAGTTGTCCCTAAAAAAATGGTGGATAAGTAAACGATGAATAGGTTTTTCTTTTACTTAAAATGAGCATCATCTTTAAACATGCAAAAATCCAAAAACACTGTTAAAAAATTATTATGCTTGAGTTTCAAATAGAATTACACGAGTAATGACCTTCAATGGTCTTTATTTGCTGTAACATAAACATGTGAGCAGATATTTTCCATTAGTGCGAAGTCTAATATTGTCAGGTGTTGTAAATATTAGGGAGTCTTATTTACAGAACATTGTAATTAGCAGCAGATTTTCAAGAGCCAGAACGCACAGCTTGTGGTGATGCATAAGCACTGTGCCACACATAAACCAACCTGGAATCCCTGCAGATGGACACTGTGCAAAAGACTAATCCAAGGAAAAACATTGCCTTACTGCTCCTGCCTATCGGTTACCAGAGGTGAAGGCTTTCTTGACGGTTTTGACAGCAAGATATCACTTTGGCACATTTGAGTAATAAGCCTCACAAGTTTAAGCAGAGGACAGCACTCTACAGTCTTTCTTTTCTGCTCACACGGTTCAGTCTCAAAACACACATCTACTCACACACACACACACAGACACACACACTTCAACGTGCCAGTTTCTCCAAGCCTACCACCCAATTAAAGCTGGTCCTTGCAGCTTCAGCTCCAGAGAGGACTGGATTCTCTATCTCCTTCAAGGCAGTCCAATGCAGTAGTTGTATTTTAAAGGCACGTTGTTAACTGTAGTGCCATATTTTTAGGGTGAACACCTGCGTGTTTGACATCTTGTGCTGTCTGATACTGCTTCTCTTAAATGGCTCAAGAAGTGTGGTAGCTTCTAACAAGATGTAACATGGGATCAAATCAAACCCAATAGAGCTTTTGAAACATGTTTTTAATCACATATGCCTCCCATGCAATCGCACTCAATATTTTAAAGCTGCAGCCTAGTTTCATGGCCAACCATTAATCCAATTACAAGTGTGTAGTACAATGATAAAGACACATATGCTTGCATTTAATATCATCGAAACACAGAATGATTGTACTCCAGTGAGCATTGACCATTTAATGTGCACATCCTCTTTTATGCAAGTACTCAGGCTTCTATGATCAGCCACATTTACATATTAATTGTTTACTCTCATTGAAGTATATAAGGTGTTGCCAAGGAGATGCAGAATGTTTCTGAGCACTCTGCCTGTTTGACCCGTGAGTGTATGTGTGTTTGTGAAGATTGGTCGAAGAAAGAGAGAGAAAGATGTTTTAATGCACACATGGTGAAGCACAACATTGTTGTTCTAGTCTGTGCCTGCTGGTACATGAGCATGTGGACAAGGATGGGTAATCAGAGCTGCTTTGGAACTTTACAAGAAGTCATTAACAGTCAGGACTATTGTGCAGACACCGTGATTTCAAAGGTGCTCCACAACAGCTTGTGCGGCGAGGGCTGATTGAACCAGAGCACTTGAAAGGGGGAGAGAGACGTCAGGTTCGTAGCATCCTGTCGCGGCCCATCTGCCTCTCTCTCTGCTCTTGCCGTCACTCTCCTTTGTGAGAAGGAAAGGGTTTGAACATCAAAGAGCAGCCATGCTACCTTGGAGACAGAAACAATTAGTAAGTGATCTGGTAAAAGGTGGGGTTTGGGAGAACCCAAGCCATGATAGTTATAAAGAAAAAAAAAAGAGAGGCATGGACATCTTTAAAGACTGAGGATAGTTCTGTATCCCAAACACTGAACTCTACTGAGAAACACTTCATTAGGTCATGTGGGGATGTAGCCACTACTAGTTTTAACAGCTACAATAACAAAAAATTTAACAAATGATACTACTGTTCTAAAGTGGAATTATAATTTCAACAAGATTTTTCATTATCACGCTAATCAAAATCTGAGCTCTTTGATTGTCTATCAGCTTCATTGTTTCATGGATATTACAATCACAAAAGAGGATCAAGAGTTAAATATATCTTGAATTTTATAATCCACACGGAAAACTTTTTGAACATGTTTTTTTCTTCACTGCTAATAAAAGAAAGTGCTACAAGTAGTCCTTTGCCTTCAGTAGTCAGGCAAACTACGTTACCTTTTAGAAGGGTTTGTGCATTATGAACGCCTGGCACATCGGTTTCTTCTTTTCCAATTGGCTATCTTTTCCAATATTGACTTGTTTTTAGTGCTGGAAATTATCCTGACCTGTGTGTACCATGAGTGATGCTAAACAGACAAAAATTAAGCAGTTACTTACTTGTTGCTGCAGTCCTTAAGAATTTTGTTTTGGTAGGAAAGACTATTTTTCACAAGTCTCTTTCATTTGACTAATTTTGCTGGTTATTATAATACAGAAACGGTATGTGTGCAAATCTAGCAGTTATTAAGTTCTGAATATTCTTGTCTATATTTTGAGACGCGGTACAATTTTCAAACCTTGCAAGATGAAATTGTGTGAATATGTAAAAGAGTGAATATGAGACTAATAATAATCCTAAAGTTGATGACAGCGTTGTGCTGGAGGAAAATTGAGTGATATTGGCTCCGTCTCAATAACATTAAGTTGGTATCATAGTTTTTGCGTATTTCCAACATATTTTAATAAAAAAAACATAGTAATGTTTACCATAATGATGTTTTACATAATAATAATGATCCTAAATTTTCATCCTTTGAGTGGCATGAGAACAATCTTAAAATAAATCACAAGACTTTGCAACTGCAAAATATGTGTCTTATTTTAATGCTGCCCCACACAACAATAAACTGTGTACATATAGCACTATTCCAGGGGTAAGCAATGCACAACACCTCTGGCTGTGAAAAGCGTTGTCTCATTAGTAGTTGTATCCAACAATATCTCCACAGTAGCCTGGCCTGAGTTCAGATCAAATCTCAGGGGGAGGTTCCTCATATAGAATACCCTTGAGCTGTTTCACACCTATCTAAACCCCCGTTAGATGTCTTTGCTGGCTAGCTAAGCAACTCCTCCTACTTTCACCCCAGCATGCACTTCCATTGCATTATGAATGGAAGTTTCACTTGGCTTAGCTGCAGTGTTATAATACATTTGTCATCTGTGACCGGGCCAGATAATAGGGTTGGAAAAAACAAACACAAATTAGGTCAATATCACCCAGTCCTATGCATAGAGGTCAATTTAAAGGACAACTGAAGGTAAGCAGCTGATGCAATTTATATATAGTTTATAATAAAAAAAAATACTTTCACTTCATAGACAAATACACTAAGCATTGCATTTGCAAAAATTATGCTTAAAATTAAATTAGCTTAATTGTTGAACCTAATTAATATGTGTATTCCAACATACAATTACCATTTAACAGTAGTAATGTAGTTCATATAAAATAAATCCACTTTGTGGAATAAAATAGAATTAAGTCTATACAGAGCTATAATTATGTGACCGCTACCAGATGTAGTGATTAACCTAAGTTATTTAAATGATTTCATTCAATTATTAGCCAGAAAAATATATAAGAAAAACAATCAGATGAAAT